AAGGGGGGAGTTTGGGAGTTTGTGTGTCATTTGCTAGGTCAGTTGGTTTTGTTGAGACAGTTCAGTTTGCTGTATTTTGAGTTTCCTTATCTTTTGTTGGCCTCTTTTAGGGCCCAGTTTATTTGATGTTAATTTTGTATTTTTCTTGCTTTTGGGTTAATAAAAACCCTTTATTTTGAACTTTGGAAACTGTGTCTTTTGCCTTACTGCTTGGTCCCTGACAGGCACACATACACATTCCTGACAGCAGGATAAAGAGGGAGGATGAACTCAAGGATGGATGTAATGGACTGTACGTGTGTGTGGGTATTAGGGGGTGGCCGGCAAAAATACAGCAGGAGATCCAGAGGAGGGGGAGAGACATAATGACAGGGAGAGGCGGTGAGATGTGGCCACACCAAGGGCACTGCATAGAGACTATCTTTATTGATCACAGTCCTACTGAGGAGGCACATGCAGTGACATGTACTCTAGTAGAAGTAAACTCCCACAGTAATTCTTACTGTATTTTTATATATGCTATATTTCTTATATATTTGTTGTTGTATGTTTATATAGACATCAACAAAGGGAAAATGCTTTAAATTGACTTAGTCCAGATTTTGATAATTTCCACAGTGAATCTGTAAGATTTAAGTTGTAGGATTTTGGCATATACAGTTGAAGTCAGAAGTTCACATACACTTGAACTGTTCGGCCATAATGACCATTGTTACCTGCCTGTTAGGCCCACAAACCTGATTCAGTTCCACCAGCTGTGTCAGGAGGAATGGGTTAAAATCCCAGCAACTTGTTGGAAGAAGCTTGTGGAAGACACCATGAAACATTTGACCCAAATTAACCAATTTAAAGGCAATGCTACCAGATACTGAGTTTATGCAAGCTTTTAACCCACTGGGAGTGTGATGGAAGAAATAAAGGCTGAAATAATCTTTTTCTCTACTATTATTCTACATTTCCCAATTTTAAAAATAAAGTAATGACCCTAACTGACCTAAGATGCTGAATGTGTATAGGAGTATATCCATAACATTTGCTTGGCTAGGATTGCTTCTATTCTACAGCAGCTGAAAAGCAAGGCTTCCTCATACAGCACATCTCCACACTGTAGGTGACTCACCAGCGAACCTTTGAATGGCTGGTGCAAGTGAAGAAAGAGCGAGGGAGAGAATCAGAGTCACAGTGACATTTTGGAGGAATCGTTTTCAGTGCCGTGACAGAAATGAAACCTCTACATTAACCTGCTGTCATAACAGTGCCTTCCTTATTGGTTTTTGGTTGCTGGAATCTCTATACTTACTTTATTAGTTTCACTCAGACAGCTAAAGCCGTGTATTTACTATGTTTGAACTACACAAAAACAAGGACTGTGGAGTTTTTCCTCCCATTTTTATTTGGAATTGTATTAGGAAGGGATCTCTTCATGGTCACTATGGAGACGGTGATGACTTACTGACTTTTTGCAGACTACTTCTCCTACACTTGGCCACTGCTTAATGCAGCAGAAGCGTCATAACAGTACAAAAGAGAAGTACATTTTTGGTATGTTTAGCTTTTCATCATTTGAGATGCTGTGATGATATCACTCCTTTTATTCTCCCATTCATTTTGTCATTTTGTTGAGTTGTGAATCACACTGTGCAGGTTCATTGAAAAGAGCAAAATAAATAGTTGTCTAATCCCTGGCAAAAGCTTAATGTACAACATGCAACCACAAAGAGTTCTCTGAATGAAAAATCTGCCCATTAAAGTTACTAAGCCATCAGACTGAAGATTGGACAGCTAAATAGATTGTCATATTGCATTTTTAATAATTGAATAAGACATTGTTGTAACTGGCCTGGCTGGTTATTTAACATATACAATAGAATGAAGTTAAAGCACCGTAGTAATGATGGCAATGAGGAATTTAATATTGTGGACTGAAGAGAGGTAGTGGAATGTAGAGCTGTATATAAACGCTGCACTGAGTGTGCCCATCCTGCACCGATGAAGGCTTATGAGAGGCGGACTGACCTTGAGACGAAAGAAAGCCCTGTAAAATGAAAGTTATGTTTGATTTTTATAACGGCAAGTGCATTCCCATCAATAGCATTTTACCCTTCAAAATGTAATCCAGGAATTTATTTTCAGTTGCTTTACAGCAGATTTTTGTTCTGGACATAAATACGGTCTGCGAGAACACGTGTCAGTGATGCTGGCTCATTGCTGGTGAGCCCAAACTTGCTGTGGCTCTCTCCCAGTCTGTCTGGGCATGTGCAGAGAATCACTGCAGTGCCGCACTGTGAAAAGAGAGGAGAACAGAGAGAGAGAGAGAGGAGTTCTAACAGTGAGGGGCTCATTCACTGCAATGCTGCCACTATCATTCAATATGTGAGAGACCATTTTGAAGATACATGACTATATTTGTGACTGGTTCATTGATGTAGCCCTGGTCAATGCCAGCAACCAACAAGGCACTGAATCGCTTTTCATGGCACATACTCTCATGGGACAGCTTGTCAGTATAATATAACTTGTTTGTTTTCAGATTTTTGTTTGCCAAACAACCAAATCAAGTCTATTTGGTACAACCACTTAAACCATCACATTTTAGATTAACAGTGTAGTACTGCTTCCAGTTCAAGCCAGGCTGTGTTTCACAGAGATCTCAAGAATAGCTCCTTAATCAAGAGAAACAACCAAGCACCATCACAGATCGTTTTAGTCTATTGGCTTTTGTTTGTTCCCATACATTACAGCTGTGTCTCTTCTTCTTCGATCACTTTTCTTTCAACTGATTTAATTTCAGGTCCATTTGTTCTCCTGCTGGTGCAGATTACTTCTCTATCAGTAAAGACAGGATAAGAGTTTCACTTGATGTGGCACTGTGAAGTGAAAAAAGTCCACCTGTCCTCTATATTCCTTCTATATGAGAAAACACTCAGCTCAGATCAATAGCTCTGATACTGATTTGACTGAACAGTACGAACAGCAAGTAAATAGTGAGACCACTCAGTGTCTAAGCTCAACCTATCAGTCAGTCTGGAGTGTGGCAGCCAGACGGACAGAGAGTTCTGAGTAAAGCAAAGATGTCAACGCTCCCAGTAAACAAGCTTTAACTATGTATACCCAGGAACTAAGGCCATGTTATAAAACCAGAATTTGAAAGGGACAATAAAATACATCAGGGTAAATGTTTCCTTTGTGGTTCTGTGTTGTTTTCTGAAGTGAATAACATGGCAAAAAGGGTCACAGATCATTTATATCATGTCTCTAAGCCAGAAGATGTAGTGAATGAGGTAAGATACAGTAGCAGCCTGCTTCATTAATTGGCTACTTGTGCTGTTGCAGGCGTGATCATTCTCTTCCTCTTGGGCTGCTGAGGCATCAAAACAGGTGGAACATAAATGGCACAGCATGTGCACCTCGGAGTCGTGACGCACCCTGGTATTTCTAAAAGCTGTCATCCATTTTGTGGGCAATGATGACGATGGTGGTGGTGGTGTTGGGGGGAGGGGAGGGGTTGGAACTTTTGGTTGAAAGGGCCATCAAGTGGCTGGAAATTGAACTGCACCTCCAGACAGCTATAAAGGCTCTGCTGTAATGAAACAAGCAGACCAGAGAAACGCTGCTTTCCCTTGAATTGAAACAGTCATGCTTGAGCAGGCCCTTTGAAGGAGGCTCAGGGTGTAATTTTCTGCTAAATGATACGAAAGGAGGTGCAAGCCCCAGTCTTTAATTGGAAAAAAAACACACGGTTATAATAGAAAATAATAGGAAAATCATCCATTAGGTTTCTCCTGAATAGACATGTCATATTTCTAAAGTTAAATCATACCTCTCTGACTTTGCTGTAAGTGACACTGCAGTCCTCTTGTTTCACTAGGATATCCTTTACAGGATCCATCGTCAGTGGCTGCCGTCCAACTCCCTGTAATGCCACACTGCATTCCTGAGAAACTGAAGAACCTGTGGGTACTGCAGGTGCTGCTGAACAGCGTTTGTGCTCAGGTCACACAGAGGTCAAGGTCCTATTAATGTAGGGATTCTCATCAACTCACTTTGATGACCGCCCCCCGCCCCCCCTCCAGAAAAAAATAACATGCCAGTGATGGGAGTTTGGGTTAACAGAGTATGAAAGCAACAACTTGGTTACTGCTGAAGTCCAGGACCTTGATGACATACATACAGATTCTGATTAGGCACTTAGATTACGTAATGTTTGTAGTTAATAAATAATTTATTAAAGCTTTATAGATCAGTTATAAATCACTATTATGAACAACTGTTCCTTCTTCAGCACGGCCAGCTTTTTCTATTCATTAGAGAAATGTCTTCAAAAGATTGTTCCACCACTTAGCTTCTACAAAAATGTCAACAGTTTGCCAGTCAACTGCCACTGTAAAGGCTAGGAAATAAATTTAAAGACCTGTGTATGTTAATAAAAAGATTTTGAGCCAGATGTTCTGCAGCACTTTTCTAGAAGATATGTGATCAAACAGGGCATTGTAGAGGACTTCCTAATACATTTAAGTACTTAAAAAGTTAAAGCTATGATCCACAAAGAATTAGTAAATTGTGTATTAACCATTACAACCATGCATTACAGATTATAACCTGTTTTATCATTTTTAATGAGTAGTTGTTATTTCGGTTACAGCCGCGCGGTGGTAGCAAAGATGCAGACATCATGGCGCACACAGGGCGCATTCTACTACCAAGTTTTGTGAGCGTAAACGTTAGTGATCCCGATCATATGTCAACGTTTCACCAAAGACAACTTGTTAACCAAAAGAAATGTCCATATGTTGATAAACTACTCATTAAAGACATTTTCAGGATTACAACTATTCCGGCTCTGGTGGTTTCTCTTAACCTCACAAGGGAAAGTTGCCTTTACGCGCCGCTCCGCGGTAACACCACGAGGATTAAAAGCAGTTCATTCACCAGCTACTCAGGAGCTCGGGGGGGAGTGGGAGGGTCTGTCGGTGTATTACACCACTTCACGCTCTGAAGTTGCAGCAGTGAGGAGGTAATCATTATTATAAGCTCTGATTACTGAGCGGACCCAGGTGACTTGACCGATAAGATGATCCTAAAGCACAAAAGGAGTCCTCTGCTGCTCACCGTCACCTGCATGTACTTCTCAGGAGGTTTGCTTTGGTCCTACCAAGAAGAGGATGCCAGTGACGGGTAACTTTGAGACATCAGATGACAGTAGATCTCCTTACATGATAAGAAAGGAAACGCTTACTTTGCTTCGAAATGTTTCCTTTCACAGTGAAGACTGCTCTGAAAATAACATTTCCACAACAAAGTACCCCTGCGTGAAGTCGACTGGGGAGGTCACCACGTGTTACAGGTACAGTAGACTGGTTGGTGTGGATGGATTCTGACTAGAAAGGATCAGTGTGAAAGTGTCACGATCAAGCTGCAGTGTGCGTGTGTGCCCATGAAAGTGATCGCATGGTGCAGCTTTGGATGATGTAAATTTTGATTTGTCCTGCATTATTCTGAGCAAAATCACACTGATTCTTATCCCCTGAGGCTGCTAATAGCTTTAAAACAAAAATCAGTAAACAGTGCTCCTTTTTGCCATGTATAGGAAATAATTACTTTCAATGACTCTACTGTTGGGCAGATGTTTATATGAATAAAATGTCAGCTTGATCTTGACAGATACTGCAAAACACTGTGAAGCGTTTTAAGTCATTATTATGCAATGTGTTGAAATGAATGGATTTTTGGAGCTAGGCGGGCCAGTGTGGTTTTTACTCTTTGACAAACTTGGTGAACTAAAGGGATCATAGCAATCAAAATATCCGCAACACTGGCCTGTTATGCTTTGACACCGAGTTTAATTATGACAGTTCACAGACACAGTGGACGTAGCATTGCCTCACAGTAAAACTCCTGTCAGAGGCTACGGATTAACTTGTTAAAACCTAATCTGTCTTCATGGCAAGGGGCTACCTCATAGGCATAATGAATAGATGTCTAAGTACTAGCTTTAAAGAGCTACAAAAAAAATTATACACATTTTGTGGAATGGTGGGTGATTTACACATCAGAAGAATATTACATCAACAATGGTTAACAAATGTGTGTAACCTTTGGATGGATGCAACTAAATCGAGCTGAAAGTTAAAACACCCACACACCACTACTTAAGGTGTTCGTTTAAGACATATCCTTGGGAGTTATTTAATTTCATCAGCTAATAAACGTGTAGTCACCACTTTATGAGAATGTAACATCCTTTTTTCCGGTCACCCTGTGATTCAGGCTGGTAAAATGGATGCATCATAGCTTTGGAAACAAAATCATGGCACGTATTCAGGGAGCTAATTCAAAATATTTTGTCAGTGATTCTGATTTACAGAAAATCTATTTTTGTTTGTGGTTTTCTGAGAAAGATTAGTGAGATCTAAAGATTGTTGACTATCTCTTGCGAGAAGTTCTCCAGCTGTAGACATTGTGAGGTTTCATCTCTGCATCATTTAACAAACTGCTGGTCACGGTTCAACCACACAGTTACACCGTGTTTGATCTTCAAATCTCAAACACACTCTTAATGTAATCGTGTTGTTTTATGGTTGTTGGCTGTAGTCACAACTGTCTTCCCACAATGTTTATTTAAAGAAGAAAAAGTGCTCCAGCTAGGGGCCAAGTAATGTGTCCTGGTCACGTTTCAGTTCACCTGAACAAGACATGATGCATTAAGGACTATACATTTTTAGGACATAAAAGAAATGAAGTACAACATAAGACAAATATGTTACAAATAAATGATTATAGACATGAATGTGAACATATATCTTGCTTTGCTTTTTGAGTCTAGGACGCCACCCTTCTGTAAAGTGGCAGAGTTTCATATTTAGGTTTGTGCACTGAGTAAAAAACAAGATAAAATGTGTTAATTAATGAGTTTTAAAGCTGCTGGTAGGTGGATTTCGTTGCCCTTTTAGCTTTTGTCTTCTGTTTCCGTTAGCTTCATATTTAACAGCCAGATGTGAGAGTGGTACAACTTTCAGTCATATAATCTAACTCAAATAAGTGTATTTCCCTAATGTCAAACGGATCCTTTAGGTAAGGCTTAGTGGTTGCGTTTTGACTTCTTAGAGCAATTAAACTCTTGAAGTGGGAGAGGACCTCATGATTTTGAAGCAGGGCCCATTTAGTCATGGCATGCCACTGTGTGCACAGTTTAACACTAAGCCTTGGAGCATTTATCATGTTGTGAAACAGCACCAGAACAGACCCCAGAGGGCATACTGTATGTCAAAGCACAAGTGAAGTACCAGGGCCTCGGCTGACTGTATCTGTCACACTGCCAGTGCAGGCTGTGTTCTTATTATTATTGTATTTGAGTTCAACTTTATTTGTGCTAAAGACCTACAGCAGTAAAATATATGCCTATAGGCTAAAGACCTACAGCAGTAAAATATATAGTACAAAGTATAGTATATACAAAGGGATGTGAAAGGCTGTGCTCGATGTTCCACCTAATTCACAAATGATTGTGGCAGAAACATAAATGCTTTATTAAAACCCAAAGGAGTTTTTGATTAAAATGATAAGTGAGCTGTGCGCTGTTTGGCAGCATCTTCAGTGCCAAGCTTCAACTGCTATTCCATTGTTGTGGTCATTGCTGGCCATAATAACTGTGTTCGTTTCTTATAGATATTTTTCCAAACCACAGCTGCCATAGCTGGAAGTAGACACACATCACCTTCTGTGTTCAGAGTTTTGTCTCTGTGGCTTGTGTCACAAAGCAGGATTGTTGAATTAATTGGGCAGCTGCCCTCAGTATAACCCAGAAGAAGTTTTTTGTTCATTTTGCAGATTTGAGAGGTTTCTGGGTTTTACTCAGCAGTTATCCAGCTAACTTTATAATCCTGCTATGTGAGACAGATCCCTGGGGAAAATACCAGACAGCAGCTGTTAGCAAACAAAAAAAAAAAAAAACCAAAATAAAAGCCAGGTCTATCAGATAACGTTAACCATCACAGGGTTGAGGCGCATTCATAATTTTTGTTTATAACTTTTCTTGGGTGACAAAAGAGTAGTGATTACACTGGGCCTAGTTTATTGTGTGTACAATGTTGGCTTTACCTACTCTGTGAAGGAAAAGAAGCAGACAGAGCGAATCTGTCCTCTCGACAGCTGTAAGAGTTACACAATTGATATATGGTGAGTGAAACTGCTGCTTTGTTTTTTTTCCAAATAATTCTGGTGGTACAGAGTGTTTTGTTGTGGCTCTGGAACTTAAGAGAAAGTCTGGTTTATGCAGTAAGGAAACTGAGGATAACAGTTCTACGTTTTTTTCTGCCTTTGTGTGCAACATGATAGCCTTGATACTTCTCAAGCTCTTGGCTGATCCAAACAGCATTGTTTGTGTCCTGTAAATGTCCCCATTATCTCATCCTAATGAAAGCACTGGAACTTTTTAGGACCATTATTATATCTCCAATTTTACTTATTTCACACATTGTATTCTAGTGATTGGTTACAGGGACTAGGTTTTCCACTGACTGCTATATTAGTGTTTGATTTACATTGTTATATTCATGCACAGCAGGGGCACTGCTCAGTTCCAGTGAAATGTTCAGTATGATGACTCAGCTTGGGTATGAGGCCTGAAGTCTCTTCTCTTTCCTTAGTTTTCAGATCTGTTTTTCACATCACATTAAAATATATTCTGCGCCTTGGCATAATCCTCTCAGCTGGACTTCTGTTCCCTCTTCCAATTCAAATAGTTTTCAACATGAGAAATACACCTGGGGATTCTTTGTTGCGATCTTGTTGTCCCTCCAGTGATCATAGCTCCATAAAGGATTTATTGTGGCACAGCTTAA